GATTTAATAGATATGTAGGGGGGAGAGAGTCGCACTCATTTGTAATCATGGCGGCCGCTGCTGCCGCCGCCGCCGCCCGCCCGCCGCCTGCGCCCTGCACCCTACTCCCTACTCTCTCTCTTTCTTTTTCTTGTCATTTCATTTATTTCCCAATCCCATTTTATTATATTTATCTTAATTCTTTCATCTTTAATAATACCCTCTTTTATTAATTCAATTAATATCTTTTTAATATTTTGAAAAGGCCTTAAAATATATAGTAGGAGACATCGACTTATGTTGTGGCCTATGTGTGTTTCATAGTGAGAGCGAGTGTCTCGGACGACATCTTTTGAAATGGGTTTTTCAAAGACAGTACTAGGTGACACGGTTGTGTTAGACAGTACTAGGAGGACTTCCTTTGGAATGAGTTTTTCAAAAACTTTTAATTCAAGACCTAATTAGAGGTGTTCATATGACTCAATAACTGATCAATCTCGACTACCCAACAATTTAATCCAATTCAAATTGAAAAAAAAAATAATCTAATTCATTTTAACTTTCGACATTTGTAACTGATGTTAGTGATGAGTCGTGATTGATAATGTTTGATATTAAAGACAGTACTAGTTTTAATTAAAAAAAAAAAAAAAAAGAATTATCTAATAACCCAACTGAACCCGAAAATATACGTTTGGATTGGATTGTAAACTTTATTCGAATTACTCGAGTCACCAAAATTTCGAGTTGGTTCAAAAAATTTCTCGAGCCAAATTCATGTATATCTCTAGACCTAATGCAAAATTTTGTGAGAGTTTAGGGAGCAAATAAAAATTATCTAAAAATTTGGGGAAATCAAATAAATTTATTTGGAGGCCCAAAATGTTGATGGGCCTTAGGTTCATCTATTTGTATATAAGCTTTCCCAAAATGTTCATGGGCCTTTGCCATTATTTTGTAAGACTTTAGGGGCTAAAATAGAAATTTTAAAAGTTTAGGAGCAAATTAAAAAAAAAAAAGACATAATTGAAAAGAATTATTAATATACACATGTCTAAATTTTTATGAATTTTAGGATTATTTCCTTCGATCGATGAATTTTGTTACGTCATTCCTCCTCGTAAACAGATTGATCTAACTATAAACAAACGAAAAATAAGTAATCGAAGATTTGAATCGACTAAATAGAGCCTGATATACAGAAATACAACAAGATTAGACAACATTGCCGATGTGGAACATAATCTAAATTATAGTTAACTCGTGTTCTGAGTTGTAGCAATTACCTAGTGACGCATTATTGAAGTCCTAAAGGACTTTATCCCAATTGATGAGAATTGACACTTGGAGTCGAGTCTCATACGTTGTATGACCTCTTGAAAATAAATGAATAATTAATACAATGATGTGATATGCATGACAGTGTCTCACGAATAGAGAGGCCTGAAATCTCGCATTAATCAAACTAAAACATTTTATATATTTCTAACTCACCTTTAGGTTGTCGATTAAGTGAGCTACTTACCTTAAAGCAAAAACTTCAACTTAAATAGATTTGTATTCAATTCAAGTGTTGATTCAGAACTAGTAACAACACTAAGATCGATGGTTTCTTATCAAGGAAAAAAAAAAAACAAAACAAAAAAATAGTTCGATCCTAAAACCCTAGGTAATACTTGTACAGTACTAACAGCGATGACGCCCCTCTCAACAATAATTGGGCGTTCTACACCATTTTCTTATACTTTCCCATGCTTTTATATACATACATACATACATACATACATACATACATATACATACATACATACATACATACATATAGATACATACATACATATACATACATACATACATACATACATATATATACATACATACATACATTATATATATATATATTTAAAAATATATTGCTAAAATATATAATTGGGCAAAAAATTCGTGCTTTTATTATAAAAAATGTCTTTAAAGTAATTTCCAAACCCCAAAACATTATACACAAAAATCTAATTGATTAGGATTTTAAAAGGACTTTATCTAAACCAAATTATGTTAAATTTGAAATAAGTTTTGCTTTTTTTTTTTTTTTTTTTTTTTTTTTTTTTTTTTTTTTTTTTTTTTATNTTGGCATTAAAAATAGAGCCTTGTAGAAGATTCCTTCCACATTTTTGGCATTTCATATATATATATATATATATATTATTATTATTATTTTCCCTCTCTTCCCCTTTTTTCTCACTTTTCCCCTTAGTCAAGATGACCACTGATGAGAGGATGGAGAAGATGGGAAAAGGGAAAAGAATGAAAGATAAATTAAATAAAACAAAAAGTAAAAATAAAAAATTAATTAATTAATTTAGAAATTGTAGAATATATTTCTATTTTAAAATATAAAAAATATTTATTTTAATTATTAAAAAAAAAAAAAAAAAAAACATTGTCACCTGAGATATTATAAGACAATAAATGTGTACACAAAATGTTAAAATAATCCTATATGAATTTTTAAATTATAATTTTATTCCAACATTTAATGAGCTAGCCATCAATCAATAAAGTATGTTTTGACATCTCCATTAGTCATAATATACTTTAAGAATTTCAATCCAATTTCAAATTAATAAAAATAATTCACATCTATTCACTAGATTTTGTTTCAAAATGACATAAAATTTTGAACTTTTATACAAGGAACTTACCGAATCAAAATTTAAATTATGTTGTAATACAAGGTCGAAATTCATGACAATTGTAATAGCTCGTGCTTAGGATTTGAATAAAAATTCAGAATCCAAATTCAACGCTAATGCCCCCAACATTCTTTTCATCCCCTGCGACATGGACATGATCACAATACTTACTTCTTGCTTCTAAAAAGTGAAACCTAGATTAATGCAAGTCTTTTCAACATGTTTCGCCCTCATTCACATGCATCCTAGATACATTCCTAAGAGGTCACCTAGCATAAAGTTGCTCTAAATATAACAATTTTAATCGTGAAGTTTCTACGATTCTGGTATCATGTTAGCATAGGTAGTAACTTTCGTTTCTTTTAAGTTTTTCTTAATTGTCATATCCCAATGGTCGCTATCGTTCGGTGGTCTAAATTCATTCATATCTCTCACTTTACTCTGGTGTCTCAACAATATCTCAAAGTTAATATGATGGACAAACAATTATAAAGTTATCTATCGAAACAGTAAGGTCACGAGTGTGAATATAACTTATAAAAATACTTACTCTATTGAATTTTTTTTCTAGAACGAGAATATACCGTTAGAAGTTTACAAAAAAAAGTGTTACCAATACTTTGACTGTCGAGTTATGCTTAGATTGGTTGTTCTATTAGGTTGTAAAGAAGAGAGGGAAGATCTTGATCAAAATTGGTAGGTTATCCACTCTTTGTCTAAAAAACCAAAGTCTATACAATCCATGTGGTAGTTGGATGCAAAACCAAAGAATTCTACATTTTTGTCCCTTGGACTAGGATGACTCATGTTTATATGAATCAATAATTGATGCTTCCAGTTATCTCACTTTACTGACAATCAGAAAAATGATGTTTCAGCAATGACCACAATTATTAAAAATTTGAAGCAAAATCTTGAAAATATTTATAAGAGGGTAGATAACAACCAAAAGAAAAAAATTCAAACTTAACGACTCACGCTCACCACTAGTCGATATTATCCTCCTTAAGATTTCTCTCTTTGACTTCTCCTCAAAGTTTTTAAAATGCGTCTGCTAGGAAGAGGTTTACACACCCTTGTAAAGATAGTTTTGTTTTTCTCTCCAACCGATGTGAGATCTCACAATCCATCCCCTTTGGCACACTCCCCCTGGTGTCTGACTTTGATACCATTTTGTAACAGCTCAAGCCCACCGCACGTAGATATTGTCCTTTTTAGACTTTCCTTTTTGGGCTTCCTCTCAAGGTTTTTAAAACGCGTCAGCTAAGGAGAGGTTTCCACACTCTTATAAAGAATGTTTTGTTTCCCTTTCCAACCGAGGTGGGGTCTCACAATTCACCACCTTTGGGGCCCAGTATTTGGTTGTGATATCATTTGTAACAGCCAAGCCCACGCTAGCAGATATTATCCTCTTTAAACTTTCCATTTCGGGTTTCCCCTCAACGTTTTTAAAACACATCTGTTAGGAAGGGATTTTCACACCCTTATAAAGGATGTTTTATTCTCCTTTCTAACCAAGGTGGAATCTCACATAAATGGTCATCAAAGGGCATCTAAAAAGTGATGCTTCAACTTTCAATCTACGCTCCTAAAGTCTCATAATCTCTAACATGGTATTGTTTCATGAGTTGAATTAAAATTATTTAGGTAAGACTACGATGTAATGATATCCACAAATTCAAACAATTTCACGAACCTCATTCACATTCAAATCCACCAAAGACATAAGAACAAGAGCTTTTGAAATCACAAAAGAAAAAGAGAAAGGAGGCAGCAGGTCTGAAAAGCTCATATACAAACAAAAGGTCATTCAATAAACTATATATATCTTGTTGCAAAGCTCAAGCAAGAAATTGAACTTATATATATATATATATTCTATCTTTCTTGGTGTTTGTGATAACCCAACAAAGACAGCCTGGAATAGAAGGATCCAAGCCAAACCTCAACCCCACTTCCATTATTCTCCCATTCTTTCTTACCAAGATAAAATATAACTCGTTTGTCACCGCATATAAAGCTTACAAAAAGAAGAGAAAGTGGAGATAATATGTGTTGCCTAACATTGGTAACCATTTTCCTCACTTTCCCACCTTTTTATTTCATATAGTTGAATGGTATATGATTAGATTATATCCTACTTTAGGCTCCAACATTTTTAAAACTAGGTTTAAACTCGTTGCAAATTCAACTCCTAAACTTCGATGATTAGATTATGATGTAAATATGGTCCAAACTATGTTGTTTTTAGATCTAAGGACACGTTGAAAATGACTTTAGGAGCATAAAGTCATTCTAAACAGACTCTAAATCTTGAAACTGGGAATATTTGCTAAAATCATCCCACCTAAATGGTGGTGAAATTCTCTATTTATAATCATCAAATAAATTATAAAGGTATAAATGGATACAAGATATTGGTCTACAATAGAATATCAAATATGGTACTTATGGTAAACGGTAATGGAAGATAAATATCTAGATATTTGCCTTTAATAAAAGATCAAATATGGTATCTATAGTAAACCGTAATGGAATGCTAAATATCTTTAACACCTCCCGCAAGTTGAGCATTGGATTTGAACCAATGTGAAACTTGGAACTGAAAAATTCAAAAAGAGGTCTATAGAGAGTAGAATCGGAGAAACAACCATGAGTTATAGGCTATAGAGACTCAAGATAGAGGCTTCATAATCAAGGCGATCGCTCTATTCTGAGAAAAGGGCAAAAGACAGAGAGAGGGTTCGATGGTGGCTGTAAAAGAAGGGTGGATGTGGTAACAATCAGAGCAAGAGAGGAAGAAGAGGGCAAAATCTGAGAATGCGGACTCTAAAGTATATTTTACGGTTTACCATAGGTACTATATTGGACGTTTTAAACAAAGCAAAGCAGATAAGCATTGGTGGGTCCAAAGTATAGTAATTTATAAAGCATAGGGCCACACAATCATCAGAAATTTGAGTATTAAACTTGTAAGTTGCAATGAAATATAGAATTTTGTATTATGTTCTGTCTCACCTGGGCCTCATTAACGTGTTCTGGTTTCCCTCTTTGCTTGTTCTTTGCCTTGATTTCTGCTCCCATGATGTTCGTCTTGTAGTGATTCTTGTTGGGATTACCTATCACAAACATTGCAGAATAAACCATTAAGGAAAACAATACGTTTACGATCCTCACTAACTCTCTCTTCTTCTTCTAATTTCGCCATTGATTTCTCCTCTGCCATTGCCATTATTAGAGAAGTTCAAAGAAACGGTACCTTCGAGGTCTCTCTCCCATGGAAGAAGCTCCTTCATCTCAGTGATTGATTATCCCCTTTCGATTGTGCTCCTAGGGTTCCAAATCCATGGGAATTTGCCATTCGAAGGTGACCGCAAACCCTAAGGCGAAATGCGAGGACAACGCCGATTCACACACCAGAAACTCCCCTTCCAATTTTCCGTTCTTCACTCCGAGTCCTCTGTCTAGCGTGTTCAAGAACTCGCCATCCGGCGGTGCCAAGCGCCGGTCCAGGCCGTTCCCGCCGCCTTCGCCGGCCAAACACATCAAGGAACTGCTCGCACGACGCCATGGCTCTGCTAAGCCGAATCAGGCCCCGATTCCTGAAGAAGGCAACGGCGATAGCGAGGTTGTTGAGGTGAATAGGGAGTTTGGATATTCGAAGCAATTTGTGGCGCATTATGAGATTGGCGAAGAAGTAGGGCGCGGCCATTTTGGGTTCACTTGCAGGGCTAAGGCGAAGAAGGGAAGCCTCAAGGGTCGCCATGTTGCTGTCAAGATCATCCCCAAATCCAAGGTTTCGATTTTTTTTTTTTTTTTTTTTTCTAATTTTCAAAATGATATCAAAGCTAGACACAGCTACCTGTCAGTAAATAGGATAACAAATTTAATTTTGGGTAAATAAATAAAGTCACACCTTCTTTTTTGGCCAAATCCTAATTTCGTTTTGCTTTTTTCGGTCGTCGAGCCTGATCGACTCCACTCTTTTATCTGCCTCCCGGCCTCTCACTTCGTTTCGTTCTTCTTCTGTATCGTCACGTGAATGAAGACACTCAATTGACCCGACTTTCTCAAATGCCCACCACTGGCCCTTATCCTTTTCGAATTTGGATTTTGAGCTCATTGACTCCCTTTTTGTTGTTCGAAGTCAATGAATTCCTTTCTTATCTTATCGCAATTTAAGTTGGAAACACGTATTCAGACTTCCAAAGTTTAGGAGGTTTTCGGTTTCGCTTTTACCCTTCCAGAGGATGCGTTACTGTTATATCAAAAAGATGGACAATCAAACCTATATCTCGATTCAATAGAAGCCCAGAGATTAGAGCTATAAACTCGCAATATGGACAAAAAAAGAAAGAGACAGAATGTGAATGAAGGATTGAAGCATCTGACCGAGCTCTGGAGATGAATACCGAAAGAGCTTACCAGATGCACCATCGACCTTAGACAGCTCGACCGGACGGGGGAAAAACTAAAAAAAAAAAACGTAGTGGGTGAGCATCAAATACCAATGAAGACCAGACTTGGAATTTCAAACGAGAAAACGTAGTAGCCTAGCAGTCGAGGGAGATTCTCGGGCTCTAGTCCTTAACTATATAGTTAAGTTTTCATTTTATTAATAATTTAAAAAAAAACAGTAAATTAATTAATTATAATTAAATATGGTTTTTGTCAGATGACGACAGCAATAGCCGTGGATGACGTGAAAAGAGAAGTGAAGATATTGCAAGCGTTGAATGGGCATAAGAACGTAGTGCAGTTCCATGGAGCATTTGAAGATGATGATAATGTTTACATATTAATGGAGTAAGTCTGAATCAAAGATTAAAGATTTGTGTGCTAATTCTTTGATTATCTTCTTCTTTGTGTCGTGTTCTTCAGGTTGTGCGAAGGAGGCGAACTACTCGATCGGATGCTTTCGAGGTATCGGTTTCGACATGAATGTTGCGTCTTAGATATCGGTTTTTGATGTGACGATGAGCTTTTGATTCTTTAGGGGTGGAATATATGCTGAAGAAGATGCTAAGGATGTGATTGTTCAGATTTTAAGCGCGGTTGCCTTTTGTCATCTCCAAGGCGTCGTCCACCGTGACCTCAAGCCGGAGGTACTCTTCGTTCTTTCTTTCTCGTCATATTGAACTCACTGTTATCTGATATTGTGCTTCCCCTAAAAGTTTTTAAAACGTGTTTACTAGAGAGAGGTTTCCACACCCCTATAAAGAATTATTCGTTTCCCTCTCCAACTGATGTGGGATCTCGCAATCTACCCTCCTTGGGAGTCTAGTGTCCTCGTTGGCACACTGCTCGGTAAGTCTACTGTTAGCAGATATTGTCATCTTTGGGCTTTTCTTTTTGGGTTTCTCCTCAAGGTTTTTAAAACGTGTCTGCTAAGGAGAGGTTTCAACACCCTTATAAAATATGTTTCGTTCCCCTCTTTAACCGATGTGGGATCTCACAATCCACCTTCGTTGGGAGCCCAGTGTCCTCACTGACATACCGTTCGGTGTCTGACTCTGATACCATTTGTAAAATCTCAAACTCACCGCTAGTAAATATTGTCATTTTTTGGGTTTTCCCTTTCGAGCTTCCCCTCGAGATTTTTAAAACACGTTTGCTATGGAAAAGTTTCCACACCCTTGTAAAAGAATGCTTCGTTCCCCTCTACAACTAATGTGGTATCTCACAATTCACCCTCTTTTGTGGCTAGTGTCCTCGTTGACACTCATTCCTCTCTCCAATCGATGTGGGATCTCACAATCCATCCCTTTGGAGACCTTGTGTCCTCGCTAACACACTGCTCGGTTTCTGGCTTTGATACCATTTGTAACATCTCAAACCCACCGCTAGCAGATATTATCCTCTTCGGATTTTCTCTTTCGGGCTTCTCCTCAACGTTTTTAAAATACATATGATAGGGAAGAGGTTTCCACACCTTTAAAAAGAATGTTTCCTTCCCCTCTCCAACCGATGTGGGATCTCACAATCCATCCCCACTTCGGGGCCCAGTGTCCTCGCCGACATTCGTTCCCCTCTCCAATCGATGTGAGATCTCACAGTAATCCTAAATAGTACAATATCTGCTAGCGATGGACTTGGGTTGTTTATGGAAGAGGAGGAGCTGAGATGACACATTCATATTTCTTTGATATGTTCCGGTTTTTCTTTATGTTTACGACGACGATCGACGATCAACGATCAACGAATGACGATTCTCTTGGTGCAGAATTTTCTTTTCACAACAAAGGAGGAAGATTCACCACTGAAGGTTATAGACTTCGGACTCTCGGACTTCGTAAATCCAGGTCAAACCTACTACTATCAGATACGTTATCAGAGCCGTGATGTTTTCGTCTTTGATCTTTTAGGTGACTAGAGTTGACATATGAGTACTTGAAATCTTGCAGACGAGAAACTGAACGATATAGTTGGCAGTGCATATTACGTAGCGCCCGAAGTCCTGCATAGATCATACGGGACCGAGGCGGATATGTGGAGTATCGGTGTGATTGCATACATTCTTTTATGTGGAAGCAGACCTTTCTGGGCCAGGACGGAATCTGGCATATTCCGAACCGTGTTAAAGGAAGATCCGAGCTTCGACGACGACCCTTGGCCGTCGTTATCTTCTGATGCAAAAGATTTTGTCCAGGGATTACTACATAAAAACCAACATAAAAGACTAACTGCTGCACAGGCTCTATGTAAGTTTAGGGAGCTGAAAATGGACACTTTACTTAAGGACAGTGGCTCTAAACATTCTAATGCCTCTTATCCAAATTGTCTTTACAGGTCATCCTTGGCTCACAAATCATCCACATGTCAAGATTCCATTGGATATCATAGTTTATAAGCTCGTTAGAGCGTATATCTACTCGTCGTCTTTGCGTAAATTAGCGTTTAACGTAAGTACTCTTTTACGTTCACATATTTGATTCTAAATCTAAGCTTTTACTCTTGAATCCCACGTTCGAGTATTAGTATACATGTGTTCGACCCCCCCGACTCGAAGAGACAACGAGGATTTTCATTTCAAAATAAGTTCGGAGCTCATTGGATGAGTCGGTGGTTGAGTAGTTAAACTATAATATTGTGTAAGCTCTGAGCTCATTTCAAAATGAGTTTGAATACTCGGGACAAGTTGATGGTTCGAGTGGTTAAACTATAATGGTATATAAGTTCAGAGCTCATTTCAAAATGAGTCTAAATACTCGAGACGAGTTGATGGTTCGAGTAGTTAAACTATAATGCTACAGAAGTTCAGAGCTCATTTCAAAATGAGTCTGAATACTCGGGACGAGTCAATGGTTCGAGTAGTTAGTTAAACTATAATGCTATAGAAGTTCAGAGCTCATTTCAAAATGAGTCTGAATACTCGGGACGAGTCGATGGTTCGAGTAGTTAAACTATAATGTTATATAAGTTCAGAGCTCATTTCAAAATGAGTCTGAATACTCGAGACGAGTTGATGGTTCGAGTAGTTAAACTATAATGTTATATAAGTTCAGAGCTCATTTCAAAATCAGTTCGAATACTCGAACGAGTTGATGGTTCAGGTAGTTAAACCATAATGCTATATAAGTTCCGAGCTCATTTCAAAATGAGTCAGAATACTCGGGACGAGTTGATGGTTCAAGGAGTTAAACTATAATGCTATATAAGTTCAGAGATCACCCTATGAAACATTTATGATAGGCTCTTGCAAAGACGCTATCCTTCGTGCAGCTCGCTTATCTCCGAGAACAATTCGATCTCTTAGGTCCAAACAAAGACGGGTTCATTTCTTTACGGAACTTTAAAACGGTCAGCTTCTTATCCATCTCGATTTTCTTCAAGAACAATCTTTAAATTTCTTACGACTGACTGTTGGAATACATGAACAGGCTTTGATGAAAGCTTCGACCGATGCAATGAACGATTCGGGGGTGATCAAGTATGTCGACATGGTAATACTCACAAAGTAGTGTTCGTAAGCGTAATTTTTTGGAACAAAATCGAAGTCGAACGATTCGTTTATGAATGTTTCAGGTGAGTTCCACGCAGTATAAAAGGTTGGATTTTGAAGAGTTTTGTGCAGCTGCTATAAGTGTTCATCAGTTGAAAGGCGCTGAAAGTTGGGAGCTGCATGCTAGATATGCTTATGACCTCTTTGATGAGTATGGAAACAGACCAATCATGATAGAGGAGCTTGCTTCGGTACGCTTTTTCTTCCTATAAAAGCGTTTTTGTGATACCCCACATTGGTTCGGGAGGAGAACGAAACACCCTTTATAAGGGTGTGGAAACCTTTCCCTAGCAAACGCGTTTTAAAGCTCTGAGGGGAAGTTCGAAAGGGAAAATTCATCTACTTGCGATAGGC